CGGCTTCACCCGGGTCCACGTTCTTGCCGGGGAACCTGGAAGCCATGATGGCGCTCGGCGAGCGCGTGATGCGCCTGTTCCAGCTTCAGAGTGCGGTTGTCGGCGCGCAGCCGTTCGACTTCGTCCTGAAGGGGGGGCAGCGAAGAGGGGTGCTGCCGCAGTTTGCCCCCAGGCTTTTCTTTTTCTATCAACAAAAAGAAGGATGGAGAAAAGAAGGGAACAAGATCTTGCATGGTGCGTCATTAAAAAAATCACACTTCGAACTTGGTTTTCAGTTAGACTCAGTTACCACGGTGGGAAGAAAGGTGAGGGAACGGAAAGGCGCATGAGTCCGCAACAACCGTATTGTTGAACATTGTTTCCGGGTGGCCTCGAGGTCGATGCGGTGACAGGCACAGCTGCAGGAAAGGGGGTTTAGGGGAAGAAACATGGAAGGACCATAAAACAAACCGATCAAATTGGAACAGCTTGAGCAAAAGTTGGTCGCAGGTACACGGAGGTGATCAATCTCCGCATCCCCCATCGTGGAACAGCTTCGTTGGCACAGGTATCCACGATGGGCCTGTGCCCCCTGCTGGAAAACCTTTCGAGCGGTAGGAACCCTTGTGTCGGTGGAAAATTGTGAAACATGCCTCAGTTACAGTGGAAAGGTGAGAACGTGGAAAACCCTTAGAACCAGGGTGTGACACACTTAGGATATGGTGAACTGAGCTGAATGCGGTGCCACACGCCGGCCTAGGGTTCCATTTCCTAAGGGTACAAGTAAGAAGCCATCGAATCCTGGAGGTCTTAAAAGGAAAGGAGGCCCAAAGCGTAAGCCGGGTTCGAAGCGACAGGTTGACGTCGGAGCGTGCAAGTCTGCGGAGCTGATTAGCCCTTTACAAAAGTTCAAAAGTTCGAAGAAAGCAGGTACGTCGGAGTGGCCAACTCCGATATCACCAGATCAAATGGGCGTCTTCGTTGGTAGCGGTCCCAAATGATCTGCCGCTACCCCCTGCTCTGACATAAAGCAAACCAGCAAAAAGCAAACCGAACAAATCCAAAAGGATCCCTATGATTCCAAGGGTTACACACACACGCCTCCCCGAAGGGAGGCAAGATTTTAAGCTCCGCGCCAAAGGTGGGGTGAGATTTCAGTGAGGATGGTTGGTGCGGTTGCCAGCTGCACAGTAAAAGGCCCAGGCACCCCAACACGAGGTTATCCAGTAGGGTGTAAACCCCGGCGTAGGGAAGGGACAGGAAAGGTGTGTGGAGGCGCAGGAAGAGGAAGAACAAGAAACGGAAAAGAAGTGACCGTTTCTTGTAAACTGGAGGAAGGATGGTTGGTGCGGTTGCCAGCTGCACACTGAAAGGCCCAGGCACCCCTGCACGCTGTTATCCGGTAGGGTGTAGACCCCGGCGTAAGGAAGGGCGAGAGCGCGAGGGAGAGTGAGGGAGAGAGAGAGAGAGTGAGAGAGGTGCTCCCAGCTACGAGCCCAGCGTCCAAGGACACACCAGACGAGAAAAGGAATGAGACGATGGTGTTCCCAGCTACCACGCAAGCGTCCAAGGACACACCCGTCAAGAAAAGGAGAGAGAGCGAGAGAGAGAGAGAGAGAGGTGCTCCCAGCTACGAAACAAGCGTCCAGGGACACACCAAAGAGGAGCGGGGAGCGGAGAAGGAGGAATCAACTGAGATACTAAGGCTCCAACAGGTCCCAATGGACCTTAAACTTGCTTTGACCGCTGTGGTCACCTTGTGCCCTGCCGAAATGGCTGGCTGCTTTGACCGCTGCGGTCACGTACAGGCATAAGCCAACTTGGAATTCCAAAGATGAGACAAAAATCATCGTACGTACGGCCTAGGCCACCTACGCTCGCTGCGAGCTGCTCTGTATCCGGGCAACGGATACGTTCGACGTACACCCGTTCGACGGGTCCACGGGAGGCACTCTGCGGGCTCATCCCGGGTTGGCACAAGGCCAAACACACTTAGGATATGGTGTACTGAACTGAATGCGGTGCCACACGCCGGCCTAGGGTTCCATTTCCTAAGGGTACAAGTAAGAAGCCATCGAATCCTGGAGGTCTTAAAAGGAAAGGAGGCCCAAAGCGTAAGCCGGGTTCGAAGCGACAGGTTGACGTCGGAGCGTGCAAGTCTGCGGAGCTCATTAGCCCTTTACAAAAGTTCAAAAGTTCGAAGAAAGCAGGTACGTCGGAGTGGCCAACTCCGATATCACCAGATCAAATGGGCGTCTTCGTTGGTAGCGGTCCCAAATGATCTGCCGCTACCCCCTGCTCTGACATAAAGTAAACCAGCAAAAAGCAAACCGAACAAATCCAAAAGGATCCCTATGATTCCAAGGGTTACACACACACACAGCTATTTTCCAAATAGCTCTTTTTGTTGAGGGACACTATGGGGACACCCCAAGCACCATCGGGCTTTTTTAATGCGTTTTCGTCACCCTTCGGTCTTCTTTGGGAGCCCGGTTTGCTGTGCGTCCTGGAGCGAAGAGATGTGCTTCGTCAAGTCCTTGGAGCGAAGAGATGGGCCGCGGGCGGAACCAGCGAGGCTGTAACTGTCCCACCGGTTCCTTGTTTCGTGGAGAAAGCCCAATTCCCCAAACTGAAGGTTGAGAGATGTTTAGAGGTTGTCCTCTGATTGGGTAGGCCCGGACGTTCTGGCCAAAACGGTGCACAGAACTGGGACTAAGTGGTTCGAAAGACCCAAAGCATCCTAAAGGACCTATATCAATGGTATAGAGACTTTGCTGGACACTTTGTGAGGTTTCCACTCTGAGTACATCATTACGTGGCATCACTCGCCTTCGTCGCTCGCTCGCCCGTCGAATCCACCGCTCACCCGACGAGGGACGGCCAAGCACCTCGGTGACGAGGAGCGCGCGCGGCGTGGAAGAAGCGACCACCGTGGTGGTGGAAGAAACATGTCATGTCACAAACGTTACAGGGTTCACAGTGACTGAGTCAACCCAGTGAAAACGGACAAGGAAAAAGCCACTTGTCAGCCCATGTCACTGAAACTGTCTGTCAACCCAGTGTCAGGAAGACCACCAGTGTTCAGTGGAGTCTTGCTTGGGTCTTGGTGGTCTCCTTGGCCTTGCATCGCTGCACCCAATCTGAAGCCCTCCCTTTTCGAGGAAAACATCAATCTGTCCGACCGTGGCTGCCGGCGGAGGCCTTCAGCGCAAGTGGATTGGCCAAACGCAGCACAAGTTAAGAAAAATGGGGGAACCCTCCCCACCCTGAAAGGAGAGCGTACGTACTCGTACATATGACAGCAAACATGAATATGTTTCCACGTTCACTTCTTCCTGGGTATCTACTAGACTATATAGTTCAACCACCAAACATTGGACCCCGTTCAACACAAACATCTACAATACAACTTCTGACCTCCCAGTTTGATTTACTGACGGTAAAATCGCCCAGTCTACCCATTGAAGTGACAGGAGGTCCTGTTCAAATTACACAGCCATCTCTCTGTGGCTTTCATCAAACACGTCACCCACGTCGTTCTTCTGCCAAGTCGCTCGCTCAACACTGCGGGTAACGGCATCACTGCCAAGGCCACATGAAGGGCCGCTCTGAAAGCGGTGAGAACAATGGAACCACCAACACACGATTTGAGTGACTCATCTTTTACATGTGAGAACATGTGTCATCAGTTCTTTTCCATTCTTTCCTCATCGGGCGCAACATGGAACTTCCTTGGGCATGCAGTTTGGTGGGTGTTTCTCTGCCAAAAAACACAGATTTCAATTTCCATCATTTTCTCCCCCTTACTGGTGTACCTGGCAAAAGAGGGATCGCCAACCACTCTTCGTGTTCGTTTCATTATCCTTTGCGACACCAATGCAATCCTGATTGTTGAAGCTGACTATTAAAGAGTCACTAAGTTGCCGACTGCTATCAATGTGGTCTCCCGTTTCATTGGTCTCCTAATGCTCGACAGCTATCACTGCTCGCTGTCAGCCAGACATTTGCACAACAGAAATCGGCGCCTCTCTCTCTCTCTCTTCCACACGAGGATGAGGAGGGAGATTCAGAGATTGGGGGCCTTTGATCTATCAAAATGACAAACCCTTCGGTCACCCTTGAGTAACCCTTCAGGCGTCGGCTGCCTCGGTTCATCCGGGCTCTCCGGAATTCGGAGTGTGACCCCATGTCCCTTGAAACATGCAACCGGTCACAGCCATCCCACGAACCGGTGCAAATCGAACTCGTGGAAGCACCTTGACCGAGAAACGATTTGGGAATTGGCAGGTTTCTTGGTTGTGATCCGTGGTGCTTCCAACGACTCATGGATGATCTGAAGGAATTGCAAGATCCCCTTTCATCCCTTGACAAGCTGGAGTTGATGCAATCTCATCTAGCCAAATTGTGGAAGTTCCTCAGAGGTCCAAACACCTGTTGCTGTGTTCCGGGTGGTTCGGAGATGGACTAAAATCGTTGTCGCTTTGCCATGCTGTGCCCTTTCAAAACATCGAACCCACTTCGGGCAACCTTCCGGTTGACCGTAGGGTCTCAAGAGACGGCCCAAGAAAGGACACCCTCCCGCACATGATGCCAGCTGTGCGCTCTTTGTGCACCTTAGGTGTTTTAGCTCTTATGTACAAGCTCAAATACCAACAGTTCGGCTAAGGTACGATGAGGAGCTCAGCTTCTGCTTCACTGCCGAACTGCCGGCATGTGCCAGTGAGGCATCTGCCGAGCGTTCATGTTTCCGGAGCCAGGTTCAGCTCTCAGAATCATCGCTTCGACAGGACAAGTTGTTGATTCAACGAACATAAACAAACCACATCAACCGTGATTATTATTGTACCTATCGCCAAGCCACGTGCTTGAGAAGGCTTGAAATTCCATCCAACAGAATCGAAACCTATACCACACGTTACCAAACCAAAGGGACTTGGTTTTCGTTTCGCTCGGTCACTAGGCAGTGCCCCTAGTATGAATATGGGATAATATGAGGATGTTTGCCCTGCCACTCACGTGGCTCAGAGCAGCGTCACGAAGCTCTGCGCTGCCAAGCTGGCCCCCACGGCGTTCACGGCCCGCAGCTCGCAGGTCACCAGCCCGGACGGTGGGGAGAAAAGCATCCTGGGCGTCCCGCGACGACCGTCCGGTGCGGGGCGGCTCAGTGGGCAGTAAGACACGGTCTATAGCAGGTACGAACCCAAAGAAAAACCGGGGTTCATGTTGAGTCGTTTGGCGTCGACGTTGCATCCTCATCTTGGAGGCCAAAGGGGATGATGGGCTTCTGTGAATTTCAGAGGTGTGTTGGCCTTGCAAAAGACCCGCCCATCCGCTTCATCCGGAGCCCAGCGTCTGGTGGCTGAACTCGGTGTTCGCCACTTCTTCCCAGCCGCCGCTCCCGCAGCGCGCCTGGTCCACCCGTGGATGCGGTGCATTTCTTTTCACCATCGCACGTAGATGTCGGGATGTTGAAGAGAAAAACACTTTCCAGTCAGGTAGGGATGGGTGGAGAGGGGAACCAACCATACAAACCCCCTCCAATCATCTCCAATCCACGTTCTCGGCGTCTCCAGTCTGCTGGGATGGACATTTCGGACGACTGATGATTGGTGAGCGCCCACGGAAAATGGGTGTGCTGAACCGCACGGCCCTTCAATGTCCAACGAATATCAACGAATCGTGCTCTTGTGGAAAACGAGGAATATCCTGAACTCTCTGCAACCAGCCCTTTTGGTGAGGAAGCTGTTCTTCAAGATAACCTGGTGCACTTCCGTTGGACTGTGATGTCCTGACCCGCTCACGGCACTACTCAGTAGAATGTGCGTCACACGCAACCCCCACCTTCAATCAGCAAGTAACTAAGTAGACCGTCTCATCACAAAGGTTCCGAGGGATGAGTCTCACTGTTGGATCTTGGTCAGTCACACTTGCCTCAAACCAAAACGACAAACCAAAGCAAAGCCCTAAGCAATCCTCTCGCCCCTCCGCCTACCTCCACACCGCCTTTCACCGGACCACGGTCCAAACGCCTTTGCCCCGTGACCCGTGAGCGGTCCTGGTACCCGGTGAGGGGCAAATAGCCGTCCGACACCGGCGCCCGCCACGTGAGCGCGATCTGCCCGTTGAGCGCCACGCTGGCGCTGAGCGCCACGGGCTCCGAGGGCAACTGACCGGTGCTCAGCCAAACCTCCTGCGCTTAGGCAGAGGATGGACTGGAAGATAGGTGGTGGAGGGATTGTGATGGTGACTGGAGTGGTCTTCAGTGAGAAAGAAGTGGGAGTACATGGTGGGCGCTTCCAAGACGTCTCGCCTAGCCTGGCCGGGAGGGGAACAGCTTTTCATTGATCTAATTTCGATTAGAGCATCGCTTGGGATGTGTCAGCTTAAACATAGAACGATGCCTCCAGCCAAACGGCTTCAGGCTCCTTTTCCTCCACAATCTTGGATGACTGGTCTATACCACCACCCGCCGGCCTGCGAGAAGGGCCCGTAGCCGTTCCGGTTGCCGATCCGCAGCTTGAAGGCCCACACGGCGGTCACCGCGGTCTCGAAAAAGGTGTCGATGGCCACGGCAGGCGCGCCCTAAGTGCCACGGGGAGGGGAGAGTGTGTGGAGGCCAATGATGGTGACTAAAACATCTCTGGTTGGTGGAAGGGGAAACGCAAATCTTTAAGTCGAATCGGGTGGGCAGGGTAGGAACCATCTGGAATCAGACATCTGCAATCATTTTTTAGGAGAAGAAGAAGATGCAATCGTCTTGTCGCAGTCATCCGCCGACCCGTTTACAATCGCCTTATATCGCTTTGCTTTGAGATCGCACCAGTCACCAGTCTCAGATTCAACACAACCAACATGCAAGGCCCTTACGGGCGTGCACCATGAATCAAATGGCCAGTTTTTCCACATTCCAATGTAAAGTCTGCACGAAACTTCGGAGCTCTGAGCTTGCGCCATCCAGTTGCACTTCCCTCCCAATTGCCGGATTTCCCACCTCGTGTGCCATCAAATGGTGCAGTCTCCGCCAGCTGGTCTGGTCACCTGCCGGTCTTTGGCCCGTCTGGTCCACCCATGGCCCCAGGACCCGCCGGGGAGTGGAGTTGGGGGTTCGGGTTCAGTGCCTTGTGGGATCGGGGGTAAGTTCGGGCCACAATCAAACGTCTCCCTGACAACTCCAAAATCTCCTCGATCATCTGGACCTTTCCGGGGCACCCTGCCCTGGAACATGGGGACCGAGAACACCCATTCAATAAATTGCGCTTGGATGGGCTCGGCATAGGTTGGGAGACGGGAGGCACATAGTTGTATGCGTTGTGGTGTGATAGTATTTGAACACTCTCTTCCCTCCAAAGATTAGCAGCAAACAAATTTTGACTTGAGGTTACAGCTGTCATGGGATTTAAAATATAGCACTGTTGAAAATGTGCTGAAGAATACCCAAGACGAATTTGGTTCAGGATTGAATGACACAGATATGGTTTCAGTGACAAGAAGTGATGGTAATGATCGAAATGTAATGAATAAAATCAATAAACCCGAATCCCAAATAGAATAGCAATAGTAACGCAAATAATCAATTCCTGTTGGTTTCTTTCCAATCAGTTAACATGTGTCTTTGCTCGTGAAATAAAAGAAATATGAAGGGATTGATAACCTCAAAATTTTTACGGACATCTGAATCAAAATTAATAATGGTGCTCAGTGAATGACTGAAATACAACGAAGAAAAGCACTTGAAAACGTAGCGGCGATCGATGGTTTTTTCGTAGAGACTACTGACTGAGTCTGTATACGGCGCGGGAATGCATTCACACCCTGCCTTTCCATGGGTGCGTGCTGCCATGCGCCCTTGGAACCTCTTCAGTGTGCACTCCCTCGAGTGGACTTACTCGGTTTCCTCGGGTTCTGGTTCCTCATGCTACCATTGCCTTCATCTTCACTTTTGATTTCACGACTTTGTCTTCTGGCCCCGCGGCCTGGTCTTCCATCCTCACGTGGCCTCTGGGGTGGACCATAGTGTGCGGCAATCCAACCATCTGGCGATCCTGACTCTTCAAGCGGGTAATCTCTGCTTTCATGCCCGCTTCTGATGTGACAGGTGTATTGGTGCAAACTCCTGTAGTCCATCACCTCCTTTCTTGTTTCTGGCGCTGTCACCGTAATGATCCTCCGCAGCTGTCTCAAAACATTTCCAGTCCTGCAGGGATGTCTTCATCTGTTGGATCTTCTTCGATCGTCTGTGTGAATTGTCTCACCTAAAGCATGATGAGATACTGAAATACACTTCTCACCTTCCAGCTCTCTGAAGTCGGCTTCTTCTTAAATGTGCTCTGCAAGACTTCCATAGTCCCGCTCTCTTCTGAATACTCATCTTCTTCTCTTTCAACTCTCACCATTCTCACATGCGCTTCACGCTCTTTGATGTAGCCTTCGTCATCCACATAGGTTGATTGTCTCAACCAAACCTCCTCGAATAGTTTCTTCTTCTTCTTCTGACTCATCTAGTGTCTGTGTGTGTCTTGCGTTCTCCCGTTGCCGCGGAGGGTGGCAACCTCACCGCCATTGGCGAGCCAAAAGCCGTAGGTCCTCCTCCTTGTCTTCTGTAGAGCGTGAGGTCACCGCCAATTCCTCCTCTCAAGTCTCCTTGCTAGATCCTAAGATCTTCTTTCGCCTCTGCGTCAGGAAAAGTCCAGAGGCACGTCTGCCTTAGCTTTCTGCCTCACTGCGCGCCGGTCCCTCCAATGGTAGTCATCTTGACTTCTTCCAGCGTTGCAATGTTGGCACCATGGCTGAGTCAACTAATGCGCTTGCCTCCCTGACTTTGAGGGCATTCGTTGCACTTTCTGACCGACTCTTGGTTCATCTCCTTCATCCATCTTCTTCTTTTGGAACTCTTTGCGGGACAGCTCAATGCTCAAATTCTCAGCAAAATGCTGATGTTGGTGAACCAACATCTTCCATTCTTCTGACTTGTTCTTTCCTCGTCCCAGGCCGCGCTTCTTCAATGCTCGCCTCAACTTGCTTAGGGATGAAGTTCCCCGGAGAGACTCACCTCCCACTTCAACTTCTCTCATCTCTTCATCCAGTGGCGCCTTCTTCTTGTCAAATGGATCTCCATCTTCTTGTTCCAACTGTTCTCCCACCTCCTCATCTTCGTCTCCTTCGTCGTGCATCCCACCCTCAAAGCTCTTTCCAAAGCATCCTTCAACCACCTCTGCACTTCCTTCTTTCTTCCTCTTGACGTCGATGTTGAACTTCTTGTAGGCATCTAGTCATCAATCGTCCGGTGGAAGAAAGGTAACAGTCCTCGTCTCTTCTCCCGCACTCATCTATCTCCTTTTTGATCTTGGCGCTTGTCAGCCATGTCCACCAGCTCCCACAGGCAATTCTTCCAGATGATGGTTGCACGGTATGGAAGGTCAACTCTAGTCGTTGTACTGTTTGGTGATGCTCACCACCAGGAATGGTACCCTCATGTCTGTTGTGAAATACCATCCAGTCATCACTTTTTAAAAGGACATTCTCCTTCGATCTTCCATCCTCTTCAAAGCAACTTTCCCAATGCAAGCAAGGGTTCAGCCACATTCAACAACGCAAAGCTCTCTCTGAGTTATACCACCTGGCCACTCTCATCCTCCAAAATCACCATTGCTTGGCGCAGTTCTCCTTCTTCATCAACCCTCCTTGGGCATCTCTGAGAGTGCGTGCTTGTCTTTGCAGTGGAAGCCCAACTCCTTTGAACGACATTGGAAGGATCGAAATGCCTACCCCGGTATCAAGGATGATTGTCATGTCTTTGTCCTCATGGACCTGTCACGAAGGTGCCCTCCCTGAGTGAGGCCTGCAAGTTCCCTTCGTTCCTTCGTGCTGGGTGAAGTCCTTGAAGTGCATGAAGTAGGCACGGCATGACCACCTCCATCTTCGTCCTCCATCTTCGTCCTTGAACACTCCAGTCATCATGTTCACTAGATGTAAGGGCGTCTGACTCTGCCCTCCCCATGCGGACCCAACGGCGATCTCATGATCCTCGTCCAAGATCCTCCTGACATTCTTCGCATCACCTGTCGAAGGTGCCTGGCCAACACTCCGCCCGCCACTGTCTGCGTCACAGTGGAGGTTGCATCACTCGCTTGACGGTGCCCTCATTCACGGCCCCAATGGCCTTTCCCTCCACACAATTGGCAAACATCTTATGGGAGGCCCTTGCCCTTTCCTTTTCCCTCTCTTCCTTTCCCATCTTTTACTCTTTTCTGATTTGCCTTCCTTTGCTGTCGTAGGTGTTGTGTCCTCCATAGCCTTTACCCTTCTGCTTGCCTTTCGACTTGCCACCTTTGTCCTTCCCTTTTCCTTTGTCACCTTTCTCCTTGCCCTTCACTCTGTCCATGTCCATGGGGATGGCCTCATCTCCTTGTCATAGTCCTTGGTGATTGCAAGCTCTCTGTAGATGGCGTGTGATCCCCGTGGAATAGTCGCTCATGGGCAAGGACCTTCTCTCTTGCATCACCCGAAGCAACACTGACAGCTTTGTGTTGTCGCTGATCTCCTCCTTGGCCACCTTGGCATACTCTTCCGCCAAACGCTCAAGGCCAAGCAGCTGCTCCAACACTGTAGTGCCCTTGTCCTTTGTAAAGCTTGACTGACTCAAGTAGGCCTGGAGCAGAGCAAGCGACCAACCTTGTTTTTGGAGCCAGCTCAGAGAACAACTGTCTCCAAACTTCATACCCTCTCCGGACTTCAGCAGCCCTCAACAACTTCAATCCCTGCTCCTCAGGCGTGCAGCTTGTCGGACCTCACTCCCAACTTCACCTCCGTGTCTGAAACTTCAATGCCCGCAAGTTCTCTGTCGTAGGGCTCTTCAGCGAACACAACCCAGCTTTTAAAGGCCAGCCTCCAGTCCTGCCACTGTCTGTTCTCTTCTTCCATGCCTGTAGGAGCAAATGGATCTGGAGGTCTTACAGCCTTGCTGGCTGTTGCAAAGCCCTCTCCATCTTTCTTTTCACCTTTATTCAGCATCTTGATGGCTTCTTGAGCCATCTCCGCCGATTGGCGGGACGCCGCCGCCAACGCTCGTGCCACTTCGGCATCCATCTTCTTTCCTTCTTTAAGTCTTCCTCTTTTCACTTCAACTTCCTTCGCTCTCTCCCCGGGGATTTTCAATGAGCCCCCGGGCGGCTCCGCTTGCATGAAAACGTAGCGGCGATCGATGGAACCCCCTTTTGCTACGGACAACTGAGCCTGTATGCGAGGTATGTGCACAGATGGGCATGCCTTCACACTAATGAATCTTAATGTTCATTTTCTCTGGATTCAATCTCAGGTAACAAGGGAATCACTATGTCAAGATATGCCACGCGTGCGAGCAAAGTCAGTGTAAAACAATAAAGGTATGCAAAGAAAATCTACCTGGAAGGTGGCGGCACCATTATCTTTGTTCAACCCACAGCAATTACAGGTTTTGAGTTTTGATGGCTTTGGGTATGCTTTGGATGTGCTTTGTGAAACAACATGTCACGTCTACTAAGTTTCTTCTGCCGACCTCCTCCCATCCTCGCAAAACAACTACACATCACACATCCGACGATCGCAACTTTCAGGGACCTTGAGGATACGGGCGCCCCCAGATCTCATAGGACACTCCCAGCTCGCTGAGATCGTCGTCGCCCGCCATCTCCGCCGTCACGGTGTCCCAGAGCAGCTGCGCCCGTCCGGCTTTCACCGTCACCGACCAGTCGCGCTGGGGCGGGTTCGGTAGGCCTGCGCCGTGGGCGCCCCGGGTCGCGCTGGGCCGTGAAGCGGTCACGTGGGTTGGTCACGGTGAAACTCTACAGGTTTGAAGAAGTGCAAAGAACTATGAGGACACTAGGTCCTAACGGCGAAACAGCAAAACATTACAATATGGAGGTCTACAGCTTGAGGATATATAGAGACATGATTCCAAGTTTGTCCCTGTTGCACCATCCTTCATCTGTCGACCGCACATAACTTCTATGTGTCAGCCAACATCCTCAACATCGTCATCCTGCAATAAGCAACCATGAATACACCCAAATCAGGCAAACTAAAACAAAACAGCTTCCGCATTTCCACACCTTCATGCATCCATCCCACAACACCTCTCAACCCCATCACACCACAAACCACTCCCAAAGCATACCCCAAAAGAAGAAACACATCAAACCGAAAACCTTTCCGCCCCTCTCACCGCCCGTGGCACGAGCATGGCCTGGCTCGCTGATGCAGAAGCGGCTCTCGGACCACTCCGACCACTCGCTGATGGCCTCGTCGCTGCGCGCGCGCAGCGCCGCGCGGTAGCTGCGCCCCGGCACGGCGTCCCGCCAGGTGTCGGAGCCTCGGGCGGCGCGGCAGGTGTTGGCGTGGAGCAAATGTGGCGAGGTTGGTGCGGTTTGAGAGTTGGTCATGAGAGGAGCACTTCTAAGCTACAGTAGCAAGATGATCACATGGCTTAGGTCATGTGAAGCCCAGTCAGGCATGGTCAAACAACAGTGAACTTAGTGGCACACTTCCTCTTGTTTTGGTGACTTTGGGAATTGAGGGATCGCCTTCAAATGCAGGGTTCAAACACGAACTACCTCAAAACTAATAGTCGCTTTCAAGTAGACCAACTATGGGGGGCACTCTGCCATTGCTGCTGATTCGGAATTCAGGATGACTACCATCAGGTTGCATGGTTCCCGTGCTTTTTCGTTCACCCGTAGTCGCTTTGCAAAACATTGAATTTCTTCCAAACTCTTGGTATCTCTTGCTTTTGTTCAGGAACAGATCGCTCTTACGTCCGGGCTCCATGCCAAACGCCTCAAACGGAGTGTGTCTCTTCGAGGCCCAGCCACTCACTGTGGCCGTGGTAGTGCGTACGGGTGCCGAGGCGTTGCCATCCAGCGTGATGAGCAGCGGTGCGACCCCCGAGGCATTGGCATCTTCCACTTGAAGGTCCTAAGAGCGAACACGCACCAAACTGGAACCCAACGGAAACATGACAGAAAACATGCGCGCGTCGAACCTGCGGTGGTAAGTTTGTCTTGACATGTTGAACACATGGAATTCATTCATGAACCCAAACGGGCGGACCTTTTGCTTCAGAACCACGGACCGGGTACAACTACAGATGTTTGCGGCCTGAAGACCCTGCAGGTGACTCCAATGGCGAGTGGGGCCATGCAATCCCAGGCAGCATGTGAACATGAGTGACCGGGCGCAGGAACCATTCAGGAGGTACAGTGGCTCCTTACATGCCTTGAACATGCTGTCATTAAAGGGGCATATAGAGTTTATGGATCTGGTGTTCTATGCTTGGTGTAGATTCAAACCCCCTTCGTTGAGGGGCTGCTTGTGAGAAGTCCCCCACTCAGGCACCCCTTGCCACACGGCCGGTGTGTGTTGGGTGGATTCGATGCGCATATGACACATTATGGCTCTTGAAAATATGACAATTCCTCGGGCTGCGAGTCGCAGCGTTGCAACCAATGTCCTTGGGGTCACAGAAATTGACACCGACACGTGGCAGAAAGCATGTGTTTGGACGTGTTTTTTTTTGGGGGTGTCCAAAACCACTGATCCACAGCTGAGGGTGGAAATGCATACAACCTTTGATGGTGCGATGGGGCCGCCTGCAACAACTTCCAGCAATTTCCCCTTGGGTTCGAGGTTCATGAATGTGGGTCGAACATTCATGCGCATCTAAATTCTATGGCACGCTGTAGCAACATAGCGATACGGCGATATGTTGGCTAGAGGTCATAGCTGTGCACCAGCTTGCCATTCTCAATTGCAGGAAGCCACCTTGGTTGGGCATGCAACCAAAATCAGCATAAGGCTTGGCAAGCCATGGCCGTTTCAACAATATTTTTCCGCAGCACCGAGCCGAAGCGAAGACAAGCCGATACCGAACCGTCAGGGTACGCACAATACCGAACCGATACCGAACCGAAGCATTCATGTAGAAGCCGTACCGCAACCGAACCGAACCCCCGAATGTGGAAACCAAACTTTTCGGGGCCTGAAAAGTTTTTTCCACAAGTGCCTTGCTTGTGGGATAAGGAGCTAAAGGAAAAAACATCACCATCAGAAATGAGGCCAATTTGGAATGGATTCGTGCAAATGTTCCTGCTGACTTCTTGGACTTTACAATCAATGTCAGAAACTGGTGCCTGCTCCGCATCCTTGAAGGCCGTTTTCCGGCGCATGTGATTGCAGCAGGTGGTCTTGATGAAGCACGTCAGAGCCCCAAGCCTACTGAGGCCAGTGCATCCGCCAAGAAAGAGATTGTCCCACCAAAGACTGATCCCTGGATCACACACGATCCGTGGACAAAGAGGCCACCTCGACCTCCGCAATCGAAATGGGAAGATTTGATATTTTGCAGGAGCCTCTCCCGTTCATCAACAAGGATGGGTGTGCACTTGGCCAGACTCACCGGCTTCAGCTCGGTCCAAGCAGGGGGGCATTGTTCTTAGCACGAAAGCACACCTTGCCGAGATAGCTTTTGACCCACTACCGTTTCTGGTCGCGTCTTCCAAGTGCCATCTTTCAGTGTCTGTATTTCTATGACGTAGCAGATGCAGCAATCAATTGCTTTACCTTCTTTGACGGAGATACTTTGGATGGATTGACTGATGCAACGCATCATAGCGCTGCTCTGCTCTGGTCGTCCCCTGAGCCCATGACTGTCACAAATTGCACGATCATCAAACAAGGCGACCAGCCCACGCTTGCCCTGCAGCAGGGGCGGTGGCCACTGGGGCGGTTTTCTGGGGCGTTCCCAGGTTATTTGGCTTGCGTGGATCATACGAGTCGAGTCTAATCCTTCCCTCAATCTCTTCCTAACATTGCTCTCCCTAGTGACATCGAGCAAGGTCTCTGCTTTCGGGTTTATTCTCGAAACCGGTTGAATCTACACACCAAACGGTGTCTGATTTCTGCAAGGTTCCTCCTCGGTTCCTACCTAGCATCAACACGTTCACCTCCCAAAGCCATGACACTTCACAAATTGATCCATCAAATTCGCCAACTTCTTCTATCTGACCAAAAATTTGCTGTTTTGGGGAACCTTTGGAGTTTGGCACATGATCGATCTTCAGGTTTGAGGTACCAATTCTTCCTCTGTCAAGCCTTCAGGACCAAACCTCCGACGCTGGAGACCACTTGAAAGATTGGCTTGACTTAAACATGCTTGAACTTGGTTGTACTTTTCTTCCACTTCTTTCGTCCAGACCCCCATACGATCCCGTCCTGCCCCGTCCCGTCCGCAAACCACCAAGGCCCCACGCGCCACGCCCCGCGCCGGCTGGAGCCATTCTCTTCTTGGCCTTCTTGGAGAGCTTCACCTCAAACGGTCATTTTGTAGAAAAAATGGCTATCGGCTCTACAAAATGGCACATCCGAAAAGTTTCTACCAAATGACCCCCGCCAAAAAACATGTCTATATAGAAAGGGTGGCGAAATTGTCTTTCTTTCGGGCCCATGCCAGCCACGTTGGCCAATTTTAGTTCCAGGGAGAGTTTTTGCTGCTTTGTGAGAAAACCCACAACATCAGCCCAGTATAGTTGTTCTCTTGCGTTGAGGGACCATGTGAAGGAGGCTGTCGTTCAGACTGTGGGTTTGGCTCAAGATGCACAGTGGACCACTCACCAGGAGCTTTTGATGAGTTTTGAGTGGTCTCAAAGCTTGGGCATGGAGGTTCACCAAGTGCTGTGCCTGCCACGAAATCTGCACATGGAGGTTCACAAAGTGCTGCGCCTGCCACGAAATCTGCACATGGAGGTTCACAAAGTGCTGTGCCTGCCACGAAATCTGCACATGGAGGTTCACAAAATGCTGCACCTGCCACGTAAACTGGAGCTAGAGCAATTGAAACTAGAGCTAACTGGAGCTAGAGCTCTTGAAACTAGAGCTACCTGGAGCTAGAGCTATTGCAACTAGAGCTAACTGGAGCTAGAGCTCTTGAAACTAGAGCTAACTGGATGCTGAGTGGTGTATGATGAGCGGTGTATGATGAGTGGTGTATGATGAGTGGTGTATGATAAGTGGTGTTTGATGAGTGGTGTATGATGAGTGGTGTATGATGAGTGGTGTATGATG